AAAATGCAACCCTGGCACGGTTTTGCCGCACGGTTTTTCTCGACTCCGCCCACTTTCCCCGGTTTTTTTCCCCGATTTTTTTCCCCGGATTTTGCGGGGTCTCCCTGCTCACCCCAATCGTGTCTATTTAGCATGAATTTTACAATTTTTGTGCGCAACGGTTGGCTGAAAACTTGCAATTTTCCGCGGCTAAACCTCTGTCAACTGTTTCTGACTTTATTTGTATATTACCTCGATTGCCGCACATATCCGTGTAGTTTCCATGTTTACTTATTATTGGTCTTTTTCGTCTTCATAATCTGTAATTGTTTTCAGAGTTGAAACTACAGTGTATTCAAAATGGGTCGCAACAAGGATGCTAAAGTTTCGAAGGTATTCAGTTTTGTTTTAAAACCCTATGTGGAACACTCAATTTTCAGAAGTCAACGGGAAGTTCTTTCGGAAAAATTGACTCTCGAGCTCCCACCTTCGATTCTCTCATCGCACAATTTCAAGGTCTAGTCGAACGCAATCATCACGGTTGGACATTACAATAATGCATAGACTGAAGTTACGTTCTTTCAGATGACAAGGAAACTATCAAGTCTATCGTCTCCGAACTTGGCAAAAAATCTGAAAATGTCCATACCGCGCTTCAGCTGATTAGGTATTTGCACCAAGTTAAGTCGAGCCAGTTGGACGAGCATGTTGTGATTGAATTCGACGGAGAAAACGAGCGTTTGTGGAACACACTGTCTGAGGAGTTGCGAGAGCTTGTCTCTAACGCAAAGAAAGGTAATACATAAACTCAAATCAGAGACTAACGTTGTTTTGCAGCTGATTTCAACATGCTTGAACAAATCATCGAGGGACTAGATAAAAAGCAGGATCAATTGGCGAGAGCGAAGGAAGTCTTCCAAGAAGTGTCAGTGAGTACTGAGAGTACGGAGGTAACTTCAGAATTCACACAACGCAAATGTAACATCGTGGTTTTGCGGTCCGAGAAACCAGTGATCGAAAATGTCCAATGTACCGTGGATGTCAATCACAAAGATTCGAAACAGGAATCCAATATTGATCCAGAGAGATCATTTGAGGAAACTGATTGCCTTCTCTCAGAAGTGGAAAACGTTTATAGTGACAGTGATAAGTCTGTTCCATCAATGGATTCCCAAATTGATTCTCCCAATAAGGACTCCATTCTCCAACACGAAGTCAACAGAATGTTGAAAGACGTCTCAAAACTCATCAGGCATGAGCCGGAAATCGATAATCTATCCGAAGTTGTACAGAGTATGCAAGACCGGTTCCATCAAGAACAACTGAAGAAGGTGTTTAGCTTAACTGCAATAGAAGCGAAGGAGAAAATGAACACAAAACTGACGCTGAATCTGGCTTCGATGCAGGACGAGTTGAATAAAACGGTAGAGGAGAACAAATATCTTTCGGAAGAAATTGATACTCTGAAAAGTATTCTGAAGAAGGAGCGGAAAAGCAAGGCGAATGAAACGAAGAAGATAAAGAAGGATATTGCCGCAGTCAGACTTGAAAATAAACAATTATTACAAAGACTCACTGATACATCTGCTACTGATGAGAGCTTCGCTTCTTCAAATCTTACGGAAGAATTCGCACTAAAACCTCAAGATTCTACCTTGGAGTTTCGGATCGCTGAGCTACAGCGCTCTTCGGAAAGCTTGCAAAACCGATACGAAGATGTTTGTAACAAACTGGAAGCTTCAGAGAAATTGCTGGAAGTCCAACAAGACATAAATTCTCGAATCACTGCGTCGTCGGTGGAAACTCGTCAGAAACATTCATCTGAGGTATCTGCTCTTGAAGAAATAATTAAAACGATGAAAACTGCCGCTTCTCAACAAGAAAAAGAATTGCTACGTATCCAACAGCTCGAACGGACGAAAACTGATGTACTCATAAACTTCATGGAAGAAGAGAAGCAGGAAATTCGAGAAAAATGTGATTCTCTGAAGCTTGAGCTTACTAATACTCAAAAGGCAATCAAGGAACAAAAGGCTGAAGCGAAACGTCACTTCGAGAATGAGATCTGGAAGATGAAGAAGGCAGCAAAGTTGGCGGAGAGACGTAACAGCTCAGCTTCCAACAGTTCCAAGTCAAGCAACTCAAGTACTGCAAACGACGGTGATGAAGTTCAACAGTTGATTACTGAATTAGCTACGCTTCAAGCTTTACTATTAGTGAAAAGTGACCGTCCATCAGAAACCATTTCTAAAGTGAACCATCTTCTGGAAATTGCTATCGAAACTGTAAAGCAAATGACCATCAAGAACGAGAAATGTGAAATCGCACTTGCAGAATCACTTTCGAAGCATGAGTTGAAAGATCAGGCATTGGATGCATTGGCTAAGATGCAGGAAGAGAAGTCTAACGAGTACGAGGCTGCTTTGAAATCCGAACGTTCAAAATACGAGTATCTGCAAAAGGTAATCGAAGAGAATATGGAGGATGAAGCAGTATCAGCTAAACGGTGGAAAGACTTACACGAGCAAGAAAAGCTTCTTGAAGCCAATCAAATTCAATACAAAAAAGATTCTGAGGAGTTCGCAAAACGCACGGTCTCTTCAGAAATGGAGAATGTGAAACTTCGGCAGGAACTCGACAGTCTCCAAAAAAATATCGACCAGAAAAATCTCGATATAAATATGCTGACCGAGGAAAATAATCTTCTTCAAGTAAACGTCCAAACCATAACAAAGCAACTGGAAGACGTTTTGTCTCCTAGAAAGGATAGGTAAACAACTTCTCCCGAATTCAATGATGTACAAATTAGTTATTACAGAACTGCTCAACTTGAGTCTCGTCTGGAAACAATTCAGAGCTCCGCTAAAGCTCAACAAAAGCGACTCGAAGACGACCTTGTCTCCGCCAGAGCACAGCTGAAGTTTCTATCGAAGCAAAACGGCGAACTACAATTGACGTATGTGTCTGCGGTGTGTTTCATAATTGCTTCATAATTATTTCAGAAATCTACAACTTCAAAAGAAGTCCGCGTTGGCTGACGAACTGACTATGTCGTTGGCCGAAAAAACTGTCAAATTCGAAGAAAGCGAGGAGTCTATTTCCGAATTGAAGAGAACGTTAGTATGAGAGTGTTCTTTTGCCATTTTTATGTTGTATTATTACAGTGTTTCTCAATTGGAAGACGAAAACAGAAGTCTTATTCTTGTGAATGCCGAGGAGCGTGCGGGACTTGTCACTGAGCTGATTACTACGAAGGAAAAGTTGAAGGAGTGTCAAAGTATTGCTTCGTTACAAGCGAAGAACTTGGAACAGATCCAATCACTCGAGGAGGAGTTGAAGTCTACCAAGAAAATTCTCGAGGGACGTCAGAATAGTCATGGCGCTATGCAAGTTCCTGAGCAAGTGACTGGTTGTGATCGTAGCATTATCGTAAGTCTGGAAACGAATTTTTCCGGTTGAAAAAGAGTTTTTTTTCAGAATGAAATGTTCCCTGAAATGGATCCGTTGCTCCGCCAAATGGTTCACATTCTTGCGCAAAACCAAAATTATTTATACGGAATCCTCGGAATCGTCTTCTACGTCATTCTTATTCATCTATACATTTTCCTGTAAATATGTTCAAAAATGTACCTTGTTCTTCATATCTAATCCTAATTATACTAGCCCAAAATTTATGTAAAATGTTGTTTTGTTTGGAACCTTCTAATCAAAGTTTGACGAAATCGGACAATTTTCATGTTTCTGTAACACTTGTATTGTTTGTTCACATAGCTCCATTCTCCCCAGCCCAACTTTTCATGATCACGGTCCCCCCCCCCCCCCCTCATTAAAATATTTTTTGGAGTACTTTTAATGCNCGGTTAATTGGCGATAAAATAATAAGCGCCAATAGGAATTTACCAGGAAATTTCATTGCATGGTCAAGAAGAAATGAGGAGGAATGAACCAAATAAGGAAGGATATGTCGCGCCTCTACAAGTAAAATTTGGAGACCACACGAAAACTGAGGAATTGAGGATAGTGGGCGGAGTTGCATCTGCGGATTAGATCCATTTCAGCGAACCCGCTCGCATGAAATCGATCTGATTTATCAAGAAAGTCCGCCCACTTTCTTGTTTATCAATCTCTGGATTGTCCCCAATTTTCGAGTCGGCTCAAATTTTGTTCTCTAATAATCCAGTTCTGAAGTACCGTAAACACTCGAATAGAATTCCTTTCCAAAACGTCACTTCAGATCCGTATATCTCGTTTTTCCTGTGAAAGATATGAAAAGTGGTAAATTGACAAAATTTTCATCTAAAAAAAACAAAATTATTTTGCCAGTTGGCCACTTTTTTAAACCTCTCACAGGAACGAAAATAAACTTTGTCGAAGTTGAAAGTTAGGGAGATCATTCTATTAGAGTGTTTACGATACAATGTTAGTTAGGAAGGATGGAACGCGTGGAGTCGTGATTCACTGGGCTTAAATCGGCTTTCGCACAGGCTGACGCTCCTGAGAATGCCATCGTAGATGTGCCTTCAGATGACTGCTCTTGTTGTACACTTTTCCACATCCTGCGATATGACAGTTGTGGTAGCCTCGATTCCGAGCATCAACGCCTTCTGGACCTGTAAATAATCACTGATAACATACAATTATTCCATTATTCTAGAAATGTTCGATTGTCTCGAGATGGATAAATCTCTTTCTCCTCTTCTCCTTACATTAGATTTCACTCCTATTACCTCTCAATATGACATTTTCCTCTCAAGATCTTAATCATCTCCCCTTTTTTGGCACGGTATTCTCTTTTAATCTGGTTTTGTTATCGGGTCGGCATCTAAATGCTCCCAAGAGCAGCACATCCCTATCTATAGCGTACCAATTATCTCGAACCGAGAAACGGTTGCCGGAGATTCATTAAAGAGGATTTAGGATTAGCTAACTGAAAGGAGTAAATGAGCAGGTGGGTGTTTGGAATAAACAAAACGGAAGGGTAGTAATTTTGGTTTTCAATGTTCTAAGAAATGTATAATTGCTCTTTGGTTATTACGATTTTGATTAAATATTATCAATTATCAGGATATCAGTAAATAATGATCAGGCCCTCAGGTATCAAGAAACAAGAATACCGTAAAACCTGTAATAGAAGAGCCCCACATTGACTCCAGTTAATAGTTAGGAAGCCCTTTTATTACAGGTTTTATTGTGATCTACTTATTATGCTGGTTCAAAAAAGCCGGAGCTGTGGAAGAGAAACGCCAGTAGCCGTGGCAGAAAGTTTCTAAAATGGGGGGTACGACGAATTCGAACGTTTTCAAAATCGAACAGACCTAAAATCGAACAGATTCAATTCAGAACAGTCCTTTTTTCGCACACGTACCAGAACAGAACGCGGACAGAATCGAACTGTTACAAGTTCGAACTGGTAAGGAGTCGAACTGTCCCAAATTGGAACGCGTGCCTGCAACAGAGCGCGCATTAAAGCACACACAAAACAGCGTTCCA